CAAAGTAACCACTGACATTTCTGTGGTCTTTCAAGTTCTTTCGCTACGATTTTTACAAAGAATCCTTTTGGGAAATATCTTTTAACAAACATTGAATATATCAGGCATAAAAATTAGCTGTAAAGTTCACAACAAAAAAATTAAACCAAAAAATTTAATACATTTCACAACTTCATTATATTTGTTGCTGCATAACAAACATTTTTTTAATGTTGATAAATCAAGGATTTTTCTTCAAAAAAATGAGGAAAGCAAGAAATTCCTATTTTTTAATATCTTTTTCACGATTGCTACAGTTATATCGCTGTTACTTTTGTTGATCGCCAGGAGAATCCAAATGAATAAATAAGAAACAGTTTTTGTATTAATCAACAATTTCGTGTGCTATAAACACAAATTTATTGGTGATATAAAAGTGGAGCTATTTTAAAAAAAAAACAGATTCTCCGAATATTTTTTTGAGCAGATATTGTTATACGAGCCCAAATCCTTTGAATGATTTTATTCATGGAGTTGTCATCTTTCCTCAGAAACAACTAGTCAGTTGACAACTTCAAGCCATCATTCAAGATTTTAAGTACTGATTATGCAAAGGAGCTCCTCTGAACGAACTGAAAGCAGGCTCAGGAAAGAACCACAAAGTAAAAAAAGTTTTACTGAAAAACGTGTAATATATTTTAATAATACAAACGTTAAACAACACCGTATCACTCTCTTCCTTTTATACAGTGCCATAACAGAAATTGACTTAAAGTAATGAGTTAAAATTTTCCTTTACAAATTATAATAAATATCATACCTGTTAGCTTTACAAGAATTACTACTGGTAAATGACTAATAAACTGCTCTTGCGTATTCTATAATTGAAACCATTTAATTTCTCTATAAATATATCAAAAAAATTGTTTTCAGGCATTTAATAAGCAATATTACACTTATCCTTTTATCCCACTTCTTAAGTAAGGTGAGGTTCCAGTATATATTTTCCATCAACAGATAAGTTCAAACTCTTGCTCATTCATTGTAAATACAAAAATAATAAGCTAAATTTACTTTTTTGAAATCACTACTAATTTGCAGACCCGTGCAAAATTTTTTTAAAAAAAGTTGCTTAAAATCTACTCACTTCACTATACCTCCTAAATTTTTTTACAGTTCACTTAAGCTGATAACTTTTGGGCATGATAAATCAATATTCAGAACCTCTAGTATGCTCTCTGAATATTATGAAATCACAGAAGTTTTAAAATTTGCCGATTTCTAACTCGTTGTAATTCCATCTATCATCTTTTGCATTGAACGCTATGCCATACTGCAACCATGCTCAGCAGTCTACTCTGCATCTTTTCACGCTGCGTGTTAATGCATGCGAAAGTGAGCCCCAACACCCGTTCCAACCATAGCTCAGCTGGTAGAGCGGAGGACTGTAGAGTAAATGCGGAGATCCTTAGGTCGCTGGTTCGAGTCCGGCTGGTTGGAGTTTCCCTTTGCATCAAGTACTTCTAAACTTGTCTGGTCACTCTCGCCGAAACAACTTTTCCCACTGAAACCCTACTCCGCCTCACCACCGAAAGCAGTTAAATTTAAAAAGCATTTTTAAAATCATGAACTCATCTATTCATGAGCTCTGTTATAGTATTTCCAAACGTTTATCCAACCGTTTCCAGTATTTCACTCACATCACGCACATTTTACACTAAAAAACCACGAAAACTTTTTACTGTCGAAAAGAAATCAAATCTTAACCACTTTAAATTTTAATTAATAAGACCTAGTTTGGGAAAGCACTCAATTATAACAGTTTTATGGCAATAGATTGGAAAGGACGAAATGAATATAAGAGACCAAGATAACTCATCGGTTGAGAAAGCAGGCAGAACACACCTTTCGACTAAAAATCTCTAATTATCTTTGTTTTCTCTTCTTCATGCTGCTTTATGTTCATACACGAAAGTTTCAACAGTTGTTAAACTCTGTTTTTTTCTGCCGAACTAATGCGTAAAAAAGGTTTCGCAGAAAGTTCCGAATAAATGTTTGCAAAGCCTAAAAGTTACCATTCAAGTATTTCCACCAACAATATTAGGAGCAACTTTTGAAAAAAAAAAAGTTGCAAAAGCTATCAGCAGATACACGATTTCCTAATGAGTTCCAGGCAGAAAAAAAGTGGAAACATATAAGTGCAAATTCCTGTATCATTTTATATGCAGAACTTGGACAGATCAGCCTTCACAATTATATGATGCAAACACGTTTATTCACAAAAAATAAACCAATACGTTTTGATAACAGCTTGCTGGCATCGCAACCTCCGTCCGTCAAATATAAGAAGAATGTTTAGTCTGCATATGTCATTAGTTCGAGACTTGAATTTTTGTACTGTTTTATTGCACTGCTACTCAGTTAAGCATTTTACTCAGTATCACTTGAAATACGTACCAGATATGCAAAGAAAAACCCTTTTTCTCGGCAAAACTTTAAAAGAAATCCCGCTGTTCCTTCAAGCACAAAAAGCGCAAAAATGTATCGACAAAACCAGTATATCAGAGATTTTCAACAAAAGACCACTTATATTATAAATAAAATATCAAAAATAAACAATTAGAACCCTTAAAAAAAAAAAAAAAAAAAAAAAAAAAAAAAAA